TTTGAAGATACGACCTGGTGTTAATACCTATTTATCATCTTGAAGGAATGAATTCTAAAGCCTACTACTTATCTCCCACTAGACAGAGTAGAGGACAGTTTATTCTTTTGTCATCTAAAATTAGGGATTAGAAGGAAGAAAAACTAAGCACTGGGAATTCTCTTTTAATATTAAAAGGCAAGGGGGAAAGTTTCAATGTCAAAAGCTACTATACTTAGTCACTATAAACCCACCTGCAAAGTTCTCACATACTTCACAGTTCTTGCAAGAAGTCAGCTCTGTGTAAACTACACACAGGATGGCAGTAGGAGCTATCGAGATAAATCTAGAACTATAGTCAATCCCAAATCACTTATTTTTTAACAAAGATTATAAATTTTTATTTTTTTATTGTATATACAGTAGTTCCCCCTTATTGGTTTCACTTTCCAAGGTTTCAGTTACCTGCAATTAACTGTGGCCTGAAAATATTAAATGGAAAATTCCAGAAAGAAATAATTCAGTGATATATATGAAAAATTCATTTAAGGCTAGTATAGGGTGGTTTGTACTAGAAAATTTAAGAAAAGAGGTGTTTATTTATAAAGAAGTGTATATTTATTTATATTAGATACATACTGCATATAAGAAAGGTTAAAGCAGGGAATCATTTGGGGGTCTGGAACAAATTAATTCAATTTACATTATTTCTAATCGGGAAAAAAAGATTCTTTTTTTTTTTAATCTTCACCTGAGGATTTTTTTCCATTGATTTTGTTTTTTTTTTTAGAAAGAGTGGAAGAGAAAGGGAAAGACAGAGAGAAATATCGATGTGAGAATTGCCTTTTTTTTTCTTTGTACTTGTCTCTCTCTCTCTCTCTCTCTCTCTCTCTCTCTCTCTCCCTCTCTCTTTCTCTCTATTTTTTTTTTCTTCTTAAAAAAAGTTCCTTTAAGAATTTTTTGCAATATTGGTTTGGTGGTAATGAACTCCTTTAGCTTTTTCTTGTTTGGGAACCTCTTTATATGTCCTTTGATTCTAGTTCCTAGGGCCCAGGCCGGAGAGGAACCTGCAACTGAGGTACATGCCCTTGACCAGAATCGAACCCGGGACCCTTTAGTCCATAGGCCACCAGCTAGGCATGCTTCAGTTTTTGAACAAATCACTTTTTGAACAGCCTTCCAGAACAAATTAAATATGAGAAATGAGGTTCCATTGTAATTTTATTAGAGTATATTATTACAATTTATTAATAGTATTGTTTTTAACCTTACTGTGCCTAACTTATAAATTAAACTTTGTCATAGGTATGTATGTATGTACAGGAAAAAACACAGCACACATAAGATTCACTATCTGTGGTTTCAGGCCTGCACTGGTGAGTGGGGGTCTTGGAATGTATCCCCCACAGCTGATTTCGTTATTCACAGTAGTTATGTCCTATAAAGTCACCACAAACACAGAATTAGTGGATAATGAACCACTGTTCCTAGGATAAGTGTAGGTAGCTCCCTGAGAGTTTCTGGTCACTCCAAATCACTCACTTTTTAATCCCCCCCACCCCCGTTCTTCACATCAGATAATTTCTACTGCTCTAAGGAGGGTGAGAAACAGAAATATCAACGTGAGAGAGACACAGCGACTGGTTGCCTCCCTCATGTACCTGACTTGGGTAGGAGTTCGAGCCTGCAACCGAGGTACGTGCCCTTGACCAGAATCGAACCCAAGACCATTCAGTCAGTGGGCCAACGCTCTAACCACTGAGTCAAACCTGCTAGGGCTCTTCAAATTCTTTTATTCTTTCCTTGGTCATCTCCATTCTGCTTCTAATGCCATCAAGTTATTTTTACTAGTAAGAAGAATCTCATATATTGTAGTTTTCAGTTCTAGAACTTCCTTTTGGCTTTTTAAAAAATCATTTCTATTTCTTTGCTGAGATTTCCTTTTTTTACTAATTGCAGGCATATTTTAAAAAATTCATTGAGGATAGTTATAATAACTGCTCTAAAACCTTGCCTGATAATTCTAATATCAGGATTATCTTTGGGTTGGTCTCAGTTGATTTTATTTTCTATTGAGAATATATTTCATTTTCTTGGGTTTTCATATATTGAGTTATTTTGGATTACATCCTGGACATTATATACATTAAATTATGGAGACTCTGGATTCTTTTTTTTTCCAATCAGTGCTTTTATTTCTTTAAAGGAGGCAATCATTGTGCTTGGTTCAGAGGTCAGGCAGAGATGTATGCAGACAGAATTTGGGAATCCTCTCTCCAGATCCTTTCCTTCTAGGATTTGTAGCCTCTCTCCTGCAGCTGTACCTTCCTCAGGGTGGATCTTCTGGTTCCACATTCTAGAAAGACTAGGTCTTCCCGACCAGCACCCCTAATACATGACATTCCTCATCAAATATTCTTGGCTAAAAGCCAAGAAAATGGGAACTCATTTTGTATAGCACCTCTTCTCTAAGCATGGATTCCCCATAAGAACCTGCCTGCTTCTGACCACAGTCCAGGGTCTTCAGACAGCTGCCTATTGTATTATATGCAGAGTTTTTAGTTGTTATCTGAAGGAGGGCCAGTCTGGTAGACCATTAGTCAGTCATTATTGTTCCAATTGTTCATTATTGTCTTTGGTATATGAATATGGATGTTCTAAACATTTACAATGCTTATATTAGTTACCTTGCAAAAACCTAATTCGGAAAATGCGTATAGTTAGGCATAATTTTCTCATTCTGTCACTCAGCTCATCTTCATGTTGAGGAGGGCTATTAACTCTGAGGCCAATGGAAGACACAGGTCTAACCATAGCTCCTCTCCTGGGTATCCCAGTAAAATTCATTTCCATCAAGCATAAAGTAGAATGGGTTTAAAGAGGTGTCTTTCCTGGTTCTCTTAGGTTTCAGGACATATTGGGAATGAATTAACAAAAAGATATAGTCATGGGTCAAAATAAGGCTAAAAAGAGAAAATAAGTATTTCAATAAAATTGAATGCAGTATTTTCCTCCAATGTGATTATTGTGTTGACTGCACAAAATCCTGGCTACTTTCAAGTAGGAAAGAGACAGAAGCTGCCTCATGAGTCAGAGGTGGTGATGTCTTCCCTCTCTGATCCCAGTCTATCACCTGATCTTCTGAGCCTCTGCCTCTCACTGGACCCTCTGCCTCCTTTTCAAGCTGCCAGAACCACAGAGGTCCTTGGCCGGCACCTCTATGAACAACAGAGCATTCACTGAAACCTGGGATTATCTTTTGGCACTCTATTGCTTGAGAGATAGTGATTAGGAGGAAAAAACACACCAAACTTCATCAACAAAGTGGCATTTTCATTTCAGCTGTTCCTGGGGGCAAAACAGAGCAGTAAAGAGAAATCCCAGATTGAAAGCTTTGTGGTTATCTCCGCTTCTTATTAAAGTGGCCCTGATGATAATCACACCTACGATTACAAGATTTAACACACCTGGTCTCAAGGATGCCACAGGAAGAGGAATCATACATCCATTCCGTCCCATTTCCTCTTCTTTATTCACTAAGCACAATTTATAAACTTTGGTGAGTGCAGACTAGAGTTGTTTTGGAGAATAGAAGTGTTTCATTCACATGGCCTTGGAAAGTGACAAAAATCTTCCATGGCCACAGATTATTTTAGTGCTGGTAAGACAAGCAGTGTTGCTTGCATTGGCTACACAAGGATATGAGAAATCTGGATAGTGTTTCTTTCTGTTTCTTCTCTCACTTTACTAACCAGGCATGTATATTTTCTCTCTCTCTCTCTCTCTCTCTCTCTCTCTCTCTCTCTCTCCCCTTTCCTCTCTCCCTCCTTTTCCCTTGCTTAATGAGAGTGTGTTGCACTCAGAGAATATTGTAGATTTCATAGTATATCATATTTTACACAAATTTTTATTATGTAATAATTTTAGATTTACAGATAGTTGTAAAAATAGCACAGAGAACTCCTGTATATCCCTCACCAAGTTTTCTCTATCGTTAACCACTTACACAACCCTGAAATATTTGTCAAGAGTTTTGTAAATCTTGACAATGGATGTAAAACACTCACTCTTTCTTAACCACCCCCTCTTGTACAGCAGATTCTCCATAAGAGCAGTGTGTATCCTACTGCGATTTAATCATCTGAGTTACTCAGTTATGATCTGTACATACTGCAATCCCATCAAGGTCCTAGATAATAACTAGGCGGGAACTAATGAGTCCAAGCTTGTATGAAATGGTGTCAGAAACTTGATATGGCAAAATTCCAGCATGAATAAAGCCTGTGTGTCTGGCAAAACTATCACTCTTCTAATGGCTTCACTGACACTATTAGTTAAATACCGATGTGCCAGCCGCAGACGAGCATTGTGGATGCCAGTAAGTGAATTATTAATGCAAACTCTCTCTTCAAAGTCAACTGGGAATAAGTGTCCATTAAGATCAAGAAGGAAATTAATTTAGAGGTCACTCATTCTCAGGTCACATATGGACACAAATACTTTCTTCCTGTGTTGGCCATACACTGAGGAGAAATCCAGCCAAACCCACTTGGAGGAGGAAGAAAGTTTAATTTATGCAGCAACTAAAATCTCATGGATTGAACTCACCGTTAGAAAGGAAACATTTAAAATGAGGCCCTTTTGTAATTCAGTATGAGCTATCTGAGTCAGGAAGGCAAGTCACTGAAGTTCAGGCTACAGAGGCAGGCTCAGTGCCTTCCAGCTAGCTCACCTGGGAATGCCAAGACGCAGAGCCTCAATCTACAAATCTGTGCTCTGGTTTCCCTGGAGCAGTTAGTGTGTAATTTACCTACTATGTTACAGAAGAAACATCTTCCTGTAGATGCAAACAATACTATTTCCTGCTACAAAATCTCTGCTTATCGATTCATCTGCATGAGTCAACCCAGGGAAAAGGTTTGAGGCCTGCACTGGTGAAAGGAAGACTGATAAACAGACAAAAACCAGAGGTAGGAAAATTACAAACGGTAAGAGACTGAGTTACCTCTGTAGCTTTCTGGCTGAGTCCCCGAAGCAGCAGCACAATCACATGGATGGCAGCTCTGCGCACTTGAACTTCATGGTCTGTTTTAGCCACAGCAATCAGACAAGCTGTTACCTAGGAGAGTGAGGGAAGAAGTCAATAAAACTCATGATTGCACAATTACATAAAGCCTCTTAAATACGTTCCACTTTCTATACATCCATCAAGAACAATCTAGCTTAGAGAGGGGTGGAAAGTTTCCTCATTCTCAGTAAGAGAGATCTCGTGGTGAGATCTTGATTTAGGCTAGCTTTTCTGGAAAAGGACAAAAACCTGGTTTGGAATTCAGGAGGGAAATTAGGGAGTGGGAAGGGATACGTGTATATGGCCATGTGCAATTTAAGGACGGGGATACATTCGGGCAATGCACCGTTAGGCACTTTTGTTGTTGTGCGAACATCACAGTGTACTTTTGCAAATCTAGGAGTATACCCTACTACATACCTGAGCTGTGGTCACCATCTTATATGAGGTCCATTGTTGACTGAAATATCATTTTGCAGCACATGACTGTATAATAAAGGTATGTTCAAATGCAAATATTTCCTCAAAAGTGGGAAGAACTGCCCAGCTGGTGTGGCTCAGTGGTTCAGCATCAGCCTACGAACCAGGTCACAGTTAGATTCTTAGGGCACATGCCTGGGTTGCTCAATCTCCAGTATGGGGCATGCATGAGGCAGCCCATCAATGATTTCCTCTCATCATTGATATTTCTCTTTCTCCCTCTCTCTTCCTCTCTGAAATCAATAAAAATATCTTTAAAGAAAAAAAAGTGGGAAGAACTGGTACTTGCCCCGCTTTGGGAACACTGAATCAGAGGAAGAAAAGCTGTTCCAAAATACAGCGGCCCCTGGAGGCTGAGAACCACGGAGCTTTAGCTAAGCAGGCTTCAGAGTTCACATTCAGGCCTGGCATGCATATGAATGTGCCACTGATGAAAGTTTCTGCCCAGGGACAGAGAAACACATAAATATTCAAACTGATCTTTAGCATGTCCAGACTTCCCAGTCCTACAAATCCAGCTTATACCCCATGTGAGTCACGAGGGGCCAATTTCAGAGACTCCCTGCCTGGGCTTCTTTTGTGGAGGAGGTCGTTCAGGGCTCATTTACTTTAAGAGATGGCTCTATAACAGAAAAGACTGGAAATTACTTGCAAAACATGGTGTCATATATATATAGCTAATAATTACACGTAATAAAATGAGAGTTTCTATACCTTGCTCCTAATAGGCATAGAGGTACCACTAAAAATATTAGCAGCAAACCTTTCGGAGGCACTTGTGCAAGATTTAAAAAGAAAAAGAAAAAATTTTAAAAGTGTGACCAATGGCAGCACAAAATAGAAGGTAAGAAAATTATTCAACTGGTCTCTCACATACTTGGTTATTTGATTTACTATGTGAGTGTATTTCTTGGCCAAGCGTGGAGGAATTTCTAATCATGATAAGAAAGCCAGATTGTGTGTTTGGAAACATGTATTAATATATATTATACTTAAAAAATGTTTTGTGTGTTTTTTTAAAAAAACACACAGGCACAAATGAGGACATAGGCTTGTGCAGAAATTTTAACTATGCAGGTTGTATTTTTCACAGCTTTCAAACAGTTGGGCATAGTTCAAAGTGTCTAATTAATCAGTGATGGCAGAGAGATGAGAAGAAGTAGCTTGTTCTGAAATATAATTGCATCTGTGGTGCACTGGCATTCAATCAAGTTGTACATCTATTAGATAAGTTTGCAGCTTGTAAGTGAAGGAAAAATCCCAGAAAAACGCAACTCTTTGAGGACTGTTTTTCAATGCGACCCAGCAAGCTGCTTCTGCTTATGACCTGAGACACCCTGACCCAAGGCCATCAGTGGCTTCCATGCCCCTGGCATTAACAGTGAAAGCAACTCAGTCCTAGGAGGAATTCCTTGGGCGACCTCCAAACAGGCAACAATATAATAGCTACCTCTACTTGCAGGCTGAGTATTTACAAGGTAAGAGCTGAAATCAGGGAAACAAGTTAGAGCTAGGTCTGAGTCTTTCTTGACACATGAAAGTTTAGCTTCTTCAGTCTGATAACTAAAGTGTGAAAGCCAGGACAGGGCCGTTTCATGTGCAGATGCGCCCAAGCCTCTTTGCCAGCTTCCCTTTAGTTTTGGGTCCATGTTTCCACGTTTGTGGGACCAAAGCCTAGAACCCTGCTGATGTCCAGCTTTGTCACCTCTGTTCTGTTCACTTGCTGAGTACACTATGCTTCTGCCTTGGCTCTCAGTGTAAGGCCAGCTCTAACTCTCAGACATGAATTCTATAATTAGGACAGGCAGAGTGCCATCCTGGCTGGCAAAGGACTTCTCCGGCAAGGCCAGTTCTCGAATGCCTGTGCCACCTTGAAGGCATGACTGACAGAGGAGCTGGTTATTACAAGCCTTGCTGAGATCAGCTGGAATGGTTTCCTGCTTGCTACAGGATGTTAGTGATTTATACACCAGACTGTACCAAGCCCATATGCTATTAGCCACCCGGGACAATCAGGAAGAGTCTGTGAACAGGAGTGTTCATGAACCTTCCTTGATACCTTTGCCATAAATACCAAGTTCTATGAAGTGTATGACAGTCAGTTATGCAAAATGTTTTTAAAGCATCAAAATTTTAATACGATCTTACAGATATCATCTAGAGGTAAGAAAGGCCTTCTGCTCTCCAGGTAAAACTCCCAAAATGAATCTGTAATGTTGCTCTTCTGCAGGCCAGTGGGATAGACCCCTCACCAAATGCATGGCCACTCTCTTCCATCCATCCAGTCTGAACAAGCCACTCCCATGGCTAGTCTCTCTCACCTCCAACCCCAAGGACACACTCAACACTGCCTTCCACCCCTAAAAGCTTTGGCAAATAGATAGATGAGGTAAGGTCTTTACTAATTTATGAACTGGTGTAATATTTCTATTCTGTTTCTAAGTCCTCTCAGAGAACAGAAACCCATTCTATGTGATTTTCATGTGGCCTGCCTAAGGGTCAATGTAGCTATTTTAATAAACTGTCCTCTGTAAGGCTTTTTCTTCATTGGCTAAACTATGTCAATCATATCCACTTCTGAAAGCCATACAGAGAGAAGGAAGATGACTGCTTTGGAAACACTAAAGGTCAGATTAAGCAATTTGACACTTCATAGGAGCCAACAGAAATAGGAAAAATATCACTCCTCAAATAGCTGGCACACACCAAACATAATCAGAACTATATAAATAAATAAATAATACAAATGGCAAGATTGGGGGGAAAAAACAACCCTTGGAAAATTCCAGAAGAGAGGTACCAGAGTGGAGGTATGTATCAGGAAAGCATAATTTCAATTTTCCAACTCTATCTTCATCCCTTTTCCAAGTATTTCCTTTGTTAAAATTTAGTTGGTCTGCGAACTAGTCTGAAACTAGACCATCTGTCCCTCTGTTTTGTAAACTAAGAAGCCTTAACAGCAAAGGCAGTGGGTCTCTAATTCACACATGCTCGGCTAGCTCATTCAAGCTGCCATGAAAGAGAACCACGGAGGCCACTTCAGCTTCCTGCAGGTTTCCCAGGACATGCACCTGAGTCCTGGTCTCAGGGGTCTACATGCCCTCACCCTGCACACACCCTGCCACTTAGAAACTGCACTGACTGTGGAAAATTGGTAGTAAACGCAGGTCATGCAGTGGGATCAGAGGTGGAAGCTTCGTATCCGCTGCGTGGGTGCCACACACATCCCCAGTGGGAGGTGTGCAGGAGGCAGCTGATCGATGTTCATCTCTCATTGATGTTTCTAACTCTCTATCCCTTTCCCTTCCGCTCCGTGAAAAATCAATAAAATATATTTTTTAAAAAAAGGATTTGGTTTCAAGCAACATAGCTCCTGACAAGAACAAGAGGAAATTGGGGAAAACAATGCTCTCCAAACAGGTTAAATCTTGACATCGACAGAGAGAAAAAGCCTGAATTCCCGGTACAGAGAATGTGGGAGAGATGATCCTACATTTGATATTCCTCCCTTACCAGCAAGCACTGTCTCGGCACAGACAGTCCACAAATCTGGACCACCCAACGGGGGGACGGTTTTCTTCAGATGCCCGAGGGCTGTAACTCTGACCGCAGATCAGATCGTGTAGAAGAGCCTATGGTGGCTACTTCGTTCAATTTTATATCAAAACAGATTACGCTTCTCCTCTTTCTCTGCCTGGCTTACACTTGATCAATGTAACGTCCTCACTGCCCTGGCATTTCTAACTGAGGGTCGCAGCTCTGTGTTGCTCAGCACCCCGTGCTTGTACTATGTCATCCCTCTAGTCCATTGTCTATTCATTCCTCTGTATTTCACACTCCCCTGAGGTTTCCCTGGGGGGAGAGATTGGGTCCTCTACTGTGTCCTCTAACATACCTGGCACATGACAAATGCTAGTGAAGGAGAAGTCCTTCAATTTGCAGCCAAAGACAGGTTTTCCCAAGGTTAAAGTTCCTTCCCGCCCCAGTACACACTGGGGCTAAGCATTCTTGAGACTAGAAGACTTCCAGAGCTTTTAAGAGACACTGAGAGAACTATCAGAGAAGAACACATGATAATTGTTTAAAATAAATTAGGTCACTTCATCCCTCTGCTTTGGCTTCCCATCTCACTCACAGTAAAAGCCAAAGTCCTTACAAGGCCCCACTTGGACTGCAATAACCTCTCTGACTTCCCTTACCCTCTTCTCTCAAGCCACACTAGCCTTGCGGTTAGCGGGCCTCAGGGCCTCTGTACTGCTGCTCCCTCTGCCAAGAATGCTCTCTCCTCAGGTAGCTGCCTGGGTCAACCCCACACTTCCTCAGGTCTTTGCTCCAAAGTCACTCATCACTGAAGCTTTTCCTATTCATCCAAGTTCACAAACAAGGTCAAGCTCCCTTCCTGCCCCTTACCTTTCTAAATTTACCTCCGTAGCACTTATTCCATCCAACCACAGTACATATTTGTGTACTTGCTTGCTTGTTTATTACCTAACTCTCCTCTGTTAAGTGTCAGTTCCATGAGGTCAGGAACTCTGGATCCCCACCTCCTCGCATATGGCTTGGTTATAGTCCCATAACTGGCATAGAGTAAATGCTCAATAAATATTTGTTAAATGAAGAAGTGAATGAAGAACTACTTAAGAGCCATGCCAAATATCCTACTTTTTCCATGGGAATGGACAAGAGCAGTCTGACTATAGGAGGATTCAATGAATGAAATACTAAGACTGTCAGGTGTCCAATCATGTTCCAACTTGTGGTCCAGCCAAAGCAGCCGGCTTGGCACTGATGACACGGCAAGCGTGGGATGGTACATAAGAAGGAACATCTAAAAAGAAGAGACAGAAATTACGTGGGATGGAAACACCTGGTTTTTCAAATCAGAAGTTTCACTGCCAAAAGTAAATGCTATTAAGATGAAGCTACATGACCCTTCCTGTCAGTAGCTTTTTTCATATGGCAAGTCTCTTCCTTTTCAAGGCCATAAAAGCAAGGGTCATGGGTTCGATTCCAGGTCAAGGGCATGTACCTGGGTTACAGGTTCCATCCCTGGCCCTGGTTGGGGCACATGCGGGAGGCAACCAATGTGTCTCTCTCACATTGATGTTTCTCTCTCCTTTCCACTCTCTCTAAAAATCAATACAAAATCTAAAAACAAACAAACCCCCCATCTACGGACATCTGGGTGATTTCAAAATTTTTACTTAAAATTTTTATTGAATTTATTGGGGTGACATTGGCTAATAAAATTATATAGGTTTCAGTTCATGATTTATGGTTCAGTTTAGGTTGAGTCATATGAAGAAACGAAGTAAACAGAAAAAAAATGTGGGAACCATTTCAATATTTGACCCAGAGAGTTATAATAAGCTGAAATCTTTAACTGACATAAACATATAGTCCCGCGAAGGCCTTTTCTTAGGTGTTACAAGTTGATATTGCTAAACAACAAGAGATTTGTTAAAACAACCAAACATCAGGTGCCTAATGGTTCATGTATATTAGAGCAATTGAAGGTTTTAAGTCAGTAATAATCATTGTTTTTAAGTTATTTTTAAAAAGATACAAAAGTTGGGCCTACAGGTATGTCCCTCAAGAAGGGTTCAAGGAGAGAAAATGACTGGTGCATAAGTTTCCTAAAAATCCTAAGTTGGAATTTAATTATAAGAATAGCCTTTATAATCAATAAAACAAAGCATATAAATAAAGCTCAGTTATCAGGAAATACCATAAATTCAAGTCGATGAATAACCCATGAGTGTATTTCCAGAGACCCAAGTGAAGTTTCATCTGTCCTTCCTCAAGGTTTCTTCAATTCTCTTAGTTACCTTGGATTTTTTATAATAAATCCTCTTGAAATTAAAAATTCTTAGTAATATAACTTCATATATATATATATATATATTTAATATGTTTTTTTAAAATTGATTTCAAAGACAGAAAGGGAGAGGGAGAGACAGAGACATCAATGATGAGAGAGAATCATCAATCAGCTGCCTCCTGCATGCTCCCTACTGGGGATTGAGCCTGCC